TATGGCTTGAAATGAGGCACAATGTCTGACTAAGAGTATGGCTCAAAGTATAGCTAAAAGTATTGCACAATGTCTGTCTAAAAGTATGGCTTATTGTATGGCTAAATGTAGGGCTAAAACTCCCTCTCTAAATGTTGCTCAATGTATGGCTGACAGTGAGCCACAGTGTCTGGTTAAAAGTATGGCTTAAGGTATAGCTTAAGGTATTGCTCAAAGTATGGCTTAATGTATGGCCTAAAGAATGGCTCAAAGTACGGCTTAGAGTAAAGCTTAAAGTTTCGCTTAAAGTATGGCCTAATGTCTTGCTTAAAGTATGGCTCAAAGTATCTCTTAATGTATGGGTAAAAGTATGGCTCAATGTATGGCTTAATTTGTTGCTAAAAGTTTGGCTTTATGTATGATTTAAGGTATAGGTTATTAGATGACTCACTGTATGGCTAAAATAAAGGCGCATTGTCTAGTTAAAAGATGCGTTTAAAGCATAGCCAAAAGTGTGGCTCAATGAATGGCTGAAAGTATGGCTTAATGTATGACTGAAAGTAAGGCACGATGTCTGGCTAACAGTATTTCTCAAAGTATAGCCTCAAGTATGGCTAAAAGTTTGGCTTAATAAAAGACTTAAAGTGAGGCTTAATGTATTCCTAAAAGTTTAGCTTAATGTATGGGATAAAGTATTGTTGAATGTATGGCTTAAAGTATTTCTCATAGTATGGCTAAAAGTATGTCTTAATGTATTGCTTGATGTTAGGGTAAAAGTATGGCTCAAAGTATGGCTTAAGGTATTGCTAAAAGTTTGGCTTAATGTACAAGTAAAAGAATGGATTATCAAATGGCTCAAAGTATGGCCTAAAATAAGGCACATTATCCTGCTAAAAGTATGGTTAAAAGTATAGCTAAAAATATAGCTAAATATATGGTTTAAAGTATGGCTTAATGTATAGCTTGAAGTATGTCTTAAAATATTGCTTAATATCTGACTCAATGTATTGCTTAAAGTTCGGCTTACTGTATGATTTAAGGTATGGCCTAACGTATGGCTTAAAGTATGTCTCAAAGTATTGCTCATCGTATGGCACATCAACTGGCTTAAAGTATTTCTAAAAGTATTGCTTAATGTATGGCTTAAAGATTGTCTCAATGTGTAGCTCAATGTACGCTCAACACTGGCAGAATTTTTGGGCACGCAGCACCCACTAGGAAACAGTCGACAGGACGCCACCACCTCCAGTTACTGGCTAAAAATATGGCACAATGTCTGGCTTAAAGTATGATTTAAAGTATGGCTTACAGTATGGCTTAAAGTATGGCTTAATGTATGGGTAAAAGTATGGCCTAATGTATGGCTTAAAGTATGGCTAAAAGTTCGGCTCAAAGTGTGGCTTAATGTATGGCTTAAAGTAAAGCTTAATGTCTGTCTAAAAGTATGGTTCAAAGTATGGTTTAATGTATGACTTAAAGCATGGCCTAATATACGTTTCAATATATATGGATTAATGTTTGGCTGCATTCACGGCTAGATGTATGGCTAAAAGTATGGTTTATAGCTTGGCTAAATGCCTGGCTACATGTTTGGCATATTAATTGGCTAAATGTCTGGACTCATACAGTTAATACAAAATAATTGCATTTGTTTGATAGTAAAAAGTTTATTATTGAACACAACGCTGGACCTTGGACCACAAACTTTGTCATTTATTTTTTCTTGTATGGGTTACGAACACAGTAAAACTGTTTGTAATGTCGATACAATTATTTTCCGGAGCAAAGGCAATTCTGCCTTGCTAGTTAACAAATGCTGTTAGGCATTCAAAGTTGAATATTGTACTTGAATAATGAGGTCTTTTTTTTGTACGCGAATAATAAACGTTAGTTACATAAGTATGCACATATTAGGATGGGTGATTTTGTCGTGATTGATTTAGACAAAGCTTCGATTACAGATGGATTCTTGTTTATTGTCGATATGCAGTAATAAACGGTCCGTATAGGTGTGAGAAATCAATAGAAAAAATATTTGATAATACAATTCCTACATTATATAATTTCTATATTATATTATTTTATATATTATAAGTCCTTTTAAATTATCACTTTGGGCTGACACTTAGAGTCACATACTTATAATGCTTTATGCATCATTTGACATGCTAAAAATAGTGAAACAGTTAGAAAATCAAAGTTGAATCATGAACAACGAAAATAAATTAGAATATTTTTATGGGTTTCAGGAATTGTCATAAAGTTCAAATAATTTTTTAATACATCACTTTAATGTTAGTTCTAATACATTTTAAATGTATGAACAAAAGTACTTTTATGTTTTGCAAGAAATGGTTATTCTTAGAAAAACATGATCTCGTGTACGGGAGTCAGTATCCATTGCCACAAGAAAAGGTTCTGGATACAGCAGGATATACAACTAGTAGGTTTTAGAAACTGGAGGAGGAAGTGGTGGGGGAGTTAAGATCCAAGCTCACTGTACCTGTGAGCAATATTTCAAATTAAATCATTAAAACATTAAACGAGAAAAATATTCATTATCAGTAAATGATTAATTGAGTTATAATGAATTACAAAATAGGTTTCGCTAAGAATAATATTGTTAACAGTCGTTAAACAATNACAAACTTGGCCTTCTTAGCCTTCAAATTAGGCTTTCATTTAGCTTGTTTTAACCATTCACAAATTGGATTTTTAACAAGTTTTTGGGTGCAAGTTGTACACAGGTTACACAACATCTAAAATATATTGTTGAAATGAGTATCACTATGATAAACACATTACACAGTAAGAGATAATACTCATTACCTGATATTGAATATATAAGATTATTTAACTTTTCAAGTGCGTGAATGTTTCCTCTATCTTGAAAGTTCAATTTCACAGCCATTTCATCGGTCAACACCGTTAAGAGTATACGCCTTATGCAGTCACGATCAGTTTTACCCCCTTCTTTTTTTTCTAAATAGTTTCTACAAAATGACAAATATAAAAACATAATGTAACATCAGCAGTGATAACATATTAAACAGGTAACGGTGACCAAAAATGTATCACTTCACATATATGCGTATAAAGGTACAAAGAGATACTTTTGGCAGCTGGTTCAGGCTTTTTTTACGAATAGTTGGATTAATATATTAGATAGTTGCAAACATCAGGAAACCTGTTATGATAACATAAATGATAGATATAATTAGTGTTATTTTAAGAGTAATTTGATTTGCACATATTATTCATCGTATCACCGATAAAATAACATAGCATTTCACATGATCAAAAAATGTTATTCAAATTGATAGAATAATATTAATAAAAAATGTGTAGTACTCACATTATTATTAGTCATACTAAAATCTTTTAGAGTCATTAAACAATCTATATAAAAAAAAATAGGGTCAGCATATTTATTTGTATAAGACTAATTGTGACAACGTATATTAACAAACCTAATCGAGTATTCTTCGGCTTTTTATTGTTAAAAAATAATAAAACTCCTTATTTATCGGTTAATTATGATAAGCACGTTCTCATACTAGAGGCTATCAATTTCCCTTTTGAGACAATAATGATAATGAGCTACGCTACTATTGATTGAGCTAAAATAATTTTATATTGCGCTTAATGATATTCAAAATGGTAAAGATGCACTCGACATAACCCTTTTTGATCATTTCTCTGTACATCGAATGAGCTATATTTATTGACTTTACTGCGTCACCTGTCAAACTAACCTTTGCAGAATCGGCAACTTAAATAATTATTCTCTTAAAAACTGTCCATTTTCGAGACTTGTGCTTGCGGAAACTTTTATTCAGACTATCATAATCTACAACATATATTAATTTAAGACCATTTGATTGAGAACCAAAAGTCCATTGAGTTGCTGCGGGGTCCTTTGGCTAAAATACCAATTTTTACGGGTTATCTAAAGGGAAACTTGCATGATTGAGATGCACAAATAGAAAGGGGTTGGACTTTGCACAAAAGTAACCTTAATTTTCTTCTTTTTCGACTGTATCTCGCAAAAAACGAGTAAAAAAATTTCTTCTTTCGTATGCCATGTTTGGAAAATTCATACAAACGTTTACAAAATCTTTAAAAAATTTTTGTTACAACATAAGATCTTAAAATTTAAAAAAGTCGTATCTCAAGAAGGAGGCCAGATAGTCCAAAAATAATTCTACGTATACAAATAATTGTTTAGATGCAAAACTATGTGTTATCCGGTTCCATACAAATATTCGTAATAATACTAAAAGTAATGGAAGTCATATCTTAAAGGGGTAGCCACATCCTATCTATCCTACCTATGAATTAATTTATTTTCTATTCTCTACCACGTGTTATAAGACTCGTTGTCATGTGACCGAAATTTTTATTCCTATTTTTAATTTTAAGATGAGTTAAAACTAGTGAAGCACGGATAAATTTTTAAATTAAATTATCAATAACCATATGAATCCTATATTTTCTTAATCCAAAACAATCATAGTTTTTGGATCAAAGAGTATTCATTGGAATAGTAGTTGTAACATCGCAACCAGCACATTTACAAAATACTAGTATTGCATAATCCATACCAATGATTTGAGACTTTTACGTTTGAAAATAAATAAATGGTTAATTTGTTTAAAAAAAACATCTTGGCTTCTACATATATGCTAGAGAATTTTTTTTTTAATTTATGTAAAATTACTAGCTACTTACTTGTCAAAATAGCATGATGTATTAGCATCTTTTTTAGGATATATTGCAAAAAAATGTACCTTCGAAAAAAGCACACTTTTTTGACACAATTTTGACGGTTTTACGATGAAAAAATGACTTTGCCAATAGTATCATCGTAAAATATAGGTCTTTACGAAAACATGATGTCTCGATGGATCGCTTTTGTCGACTACAACTTTTACAAAACCATTAAATATTTAATGCTTTCTTTTACAAGCAAATGCTATTTCTCAAAAAAAAGTAATTTTTTATTCATTAAAATTTAGTGGTACATTTAGGACAGTAAAATATATATTTTCATCAATTTTCAGTCACATAGAACATTTATCCTCCAATTTGAAAGAAGTTGAAATTCCGAAGTTCTTGACACTAATTTGTCTTTAAATTATGAGCCAAATTCGAATTAACAGGTTTCAAATTTTCAGAATAATTAATACCTAAAAGATAAATAAAGTTCAGTTGTTGTATTTACAATACGTTTAAAGTAAATTATAAGAAAACCGATTGATTGTGATTTTTTACATTATATTATAAATTTAACAATTCTTCGAACCTCTGATTTGAAATCAGTTTCAGCACGACGTTCCTTGCATACAAGCTAACAAAATTAGGTATGTACAAACATGTGCATAATTAAGTCTAAAAATAGCCCTTATTCCTCCAATTCCGCTGGTCTACGATGCAAGATAACTTGTTCTATTTGAAACTTTAATTCCTGTTATAATTTATAACGTTAACAATTAGGTGCAATCGTTACTGTACAGTAATAATAGAACAATAACAACTGTAACATAAACAACTGTAGACTTAAGTTATAACTTATTATATTATTATAGTTATGTTGGTATAAAATAATTCAAAAATTTTTATTTCATGTGGAACGCAGTAGGTCAAGTCGAATATACAATAACACAGCAACCTTAAAAATCTTCTTTTGATGCATGTAATATATAAGAAGACATGCATGACGAAACAAGTAAGTCAAGATATTTTATCACCAAGTAATTCTGAACATCTCATGAATGTGCATGCATAAAAGTAATCTTACGTTTTGAAAACAATACTTTATCAGGCGAATTTCGTTTTTTTGACATCTTATAAGGACGTTTGTCTTAACACAAAATTACTTAAAGTGATCATCAATTGTAAAGTTACTTAAACGACGTATGTAGCCGTGTGAAAAAAAAATAATACACCTTATAGAACGATATCTGCATTAACCTTTCGTACACTTCAAACAATATCTATGAGATAATTTTATTGTGAATATTTTTTTTTTAATTTTACGGCTTGTAAAAGCTTAAACCAGTATACGAAAGTACGAAACGCTTCTTTAATATGGACGTACAACTGATTCCATATTGAATATAGCTGCATTTCGTACTATCTAAAGTTTGAAACTTAAACTAATAATAAATGTTAAAAAAAATTCCTACGATATAGTTATTTTTTTTAAATTTATTATTTGTGTGTTTTGCCGTATGACGCTAATAAGCGTAGAAAGTATGATACATTGATATTGTCCCGTGTTTCCTGTTTTATTTTCTGAGACTTGGATCTGTGTAGTTTGCAAAAATCATGAGAGATTTTTAGTTTCCAATACAAGAATCATCCTTAACTGTAGTAGACATACATTTTTACGCAAGATTTAGTTAAGTCGATGCTAGTTGCTTACAAGATAGTGTCTAGTGTTTCAAAACTGCGCATCAGGTGCTCGTCTTTGGAGCACCACTGGGCTAGTTCATCGATTGTTACGTAGCCATCCTTGTTTGAATCTATCAGCTGTAACAAATAATAGCATTAGATTCAATTTTAAGTGTACTAAGAATAATATTTATTAATATTTAAAAATATAATAACATTTTTACTTGTGCTTTTATAAAATACACTAGTAAAATGTAAATAAGAATTAATTGGGAAAATTGCAGAGATCTAGTTATTTAGATGAAGTGTGTGTATTTTTTTTTTAAGTAAATAATTTTAAAAAATAACAGTATTTCTACGAATCCAAAAAATAATATTATGTTCTTATATTTAACAGAGAACTGAATGAAGAAAGTTTAATAAAACCTTCTCAAATTACCTAGTCATTTTTTATTGCAATATTTGTCACAAAATTTTTATTCTTAAAATGATTTGACTTTAATACTAGAAAGTTTCTAAACTTAATATCAAGAACTAATAATCTGTAACAATTCTGAGTAAGCTCTAAACTCTCTTTCAGAAATATGGCAAAAGGAGAACGCATCTGAGTCACTGAAGTAGCGGAGAAGCTCATAATATTGGGAAATAACGTTCTCGTGATACTGCATATAGTGTAGTAACTTTGGATCCCTTAGGTGGTTGGCTCACAGATCATCTGTTAACTGCTCATAAAATATCACTACGTCGATAATATTTTTATGGCAGGGTAGTTCCAGTTCCACAGTTTATGGATTTTCAATCCGATATCCTGCTCCAAATGAAATAATCTATTATAAAAAAACGCATCAATGTGGTTGCAGAACCAAACTGATTAGGTATCATGCTATAGTCAAAGCTCAGACGTTACCAATATGCATGTCATTAATGACTGCTAGCCAACTTCTTACCTAGACCTGCAATATATTAGCGTAACACTTTTTCTTTTAATAAGTACATAAATAGTGGAAGTGTATATGTGTATACGATTAAATGCATACTTATTCGCTTGCTCTGTATATAACATTAAAATATTATTTGAGGTTTTGCGTGCTCAAAATTAGGTATTAGTAACAAAGTTGAGCTCAGCGTGGCGTGGAAAACGCATGAGCTAGTGAACTAAATCCACCAATCGCTTGCGTATAAAATCTTGTATTTTAACTGTTTGTAGAGTTATTAGGACATATATTTTTATATGTGACATGCAGCTGACCGCCCACGACTGTAATTTACTATGGTAAATCGAATAAAAAGGTACAAAATATTTACTTCTTGCTCACATGAAATATTACTTCTGTCAATTAGGCGTTCTTTTATTAAAAAGCTAATTGTCATATAGATTTACTGAGAGCGCTACTCAAAACTTAGTTTCTGACTTACTTATTCGCTAAAAAAGCTTCCCGCATAGCATTGTCTGTTTCAGAAATGTTTCAGTAATAAATTTTTTTAATCTAAAAAATGTTTCCTAAAAAAATTTTGAAACGTTTCTGGAACGTTTTTACGACTATGAAATGTCAGTGATTTAAGTGTCTGAAATATTTTTTGTTACACCAGATTGCAATGTTGCAAAAATGATTCAGACATACATTATGCATTTTTTATTTTGTTCTGCTTGTGTAGATATTGGTGGTATTTCTTAAACGATTCAAAAATGTATTATTTTACTCTGAATACGTAAAGATAATCGTAAGCGTTACCTAAGCGTTTCTGAAACATTGTGCTCATTTCAGCTGCATTTGGTAGCGGTAGTTGTCAAAGTTTTAGAAACGTTCTTAAAATAGTACATTACGTACGAGTTTGCAAAGGCTTCGATTTACGAATCGAGAGGTTTACGGCACAAGCCAAAGGCGAGGGCCGTAACAAGGTTCGTAAAGAAGCCTTTTCGAACGAGTTTCGTATAATATTTTTCCGCCTGAGAACTCAAAATCAAGCGGCGAAGGTGCTATTTTGAGGTTAGAAGGCGGAAAAA